GGTCAGTTTCATGTCAGTTCTTGAGTGAGTGTGAGCTCCCTTCCTATGTCAGGCTGATCACTTTTATTCAGTTTTCAGTTCTTTGGGCTTCAGATTTCTTGAATCAGGTTAAATAAATACATGCAATTTCCTCCAGGAGCTAAGACTCCTTCAGACTTGCTGCCTGCTTAGGGATTCACACTGATAATCCCTCCAGCCCCCGCTCTCAGTGATTTTAGTTCCTTCTGGAAACACCTGTAAGTCCCTCATGGACCCAGAATACAAGCCCTAGCCTATAACGATACATACAACATTTATAAAATTGATACAATAGCCTTTGAATATTCCATATTGCAATATAATCTGTTGTATAAACCAATTTAAAAGTGTCCACACAAAGGGGGTTGTTCCAATTAAGTGAATTGGTTCTAAACCACTTTAGTTAAATCAGTGCAAAACACTGTGTATAGACTAATCCAGCGTTTCCCAAACTTTTTCAGACACGGAACACTTTTTAGCCTATTATGGAACACTTACAATATTATTTTGTAGTCATTTGGTTTTCAAATAAAAAATTGTGTTATTTATGCTCAAATATATTTTATTTAATAAAACAAAGCAAAAATACAAATTTAAAATAACTTGAACTAACAATTTTTAACTGGAAAGCGTGTATAAAGTAGCACAAAACTCAAGTGCAAGAATCAAAATTAAAAAGTGTTCTACTTAAAAAAAACCTGTGTTTATATATACACAAACACCAAACAAATTAGATTTTTACTAGGAAAATCTATTTTTATAAACAGAAATACAAATTTGGATTTAATGGGATTGGTGTTTCTGCGTTTTTCTATCACAAATTCGCTTAATTTTAGGAATAATGCTGGAAAGTTGAATCCTCATGTCAGGCGCAGCATCAAGTCTATTCCTATATTTGGTTTTTGTTGTAGTATAATACGAAAATCCCGTCTCACACAAATAAGTTGTAGCAAAAGGAAGCAGCACTCAAACTGCACATTTAGCCACATTAGGATACTCTTCTATTCGGCTCCTCCAAAAATTATTCAACGGAAGATCCTTAAACTTTTGTTTCAAATCAGAGTCAGAAATTAAGTCATTTAGGCTTTCATAATTGTGCGCAGTAAAGCCGACTGGTTTGGCTGTAATTACAAACTGATTTTGAACCCAAGCATTATCATCAGTAGTTGTAGGAAAATATTCTAATAAAGAGGCCTGCAAGTCATGTAAGTGCTGTAAAATGGTGCTGGAAACTTCTTCATGGACTGTAGAATTTATTTCAGTCAGAAATTCATGTACTGTAGGGAAGCAGTCGAAGTTATTCTGTTCTACAGAAGATGCCCAGAATTGCAGTTTCTTTTTTAACGACAAAATTTTATCCATTGTAGTAAAAATAGTCACATTCTTTCCTTGCAGCGACAGATTAATTTCATTTAATTTTGCAAAAATATCTGCAAGATACGCAAGTCTCATTAGCCACGAGGAATTTGTCAGACAGTCATTAAATTTTCATCCTGAATTATCTGAAGTGAAGAATACCAGTAGTTCACTACGAAGCTCAAAAAGCCTCACAAGCACTTTTCCTCTGGATAGCCACCTCACTTCCATATGTAAAAGAAGCGCTTTGTGCTGACTACCTATTTCCTTGCACAAGATTTTAAATAACCTGGATTGAAGTGGTCAAGATTTGACAAAATTGATAATTTGTACTGCTTCATCGAGCACAATTTTCAGATATGCTGGTACACCTCTACCTCGATATAACGCTGTCCTCGGGAGCCAAAAAATCTTACTGCATTATAGGTGAAACCATGTTATATCGAACTTGCTTTGATCCACCGGAGTGCGCAGCCCCGCCGCCCCCCCCACCCCGCCAGAGCACTGCTTTACCGCGTTATATCCAAATTCGTGTTATATCAGGTCACGTTATATCGGGGTAGAGGTGTATTGTTTTTAACTGCACGTGCTTGTCTGCGTAGAACACAATGGCTCTCAGTGCTTTCTGATGCCACACTTATGATTCGCGTTACAGCTCCCGTCATCTTCCCAATCATTGCCCGAGCACCATCAGTACATACATCAATACATTTTCCCCAACTAATTTCATGCTTTCTGATAAAATTGTTGATGCAGTTGAATATTTCTTCTTCAGTTGTGTTGCTTTGCAGAGATTCACATAAGAGCAGGTCCTCTTCAATAATATTATTAAATCTATATCGGACAAATACTAGTAGCACAGCAAGTCCTGAAACATCAGTGGACTCATCTAGCTGCAATGAATACTCATGGCAAATTTTCAGTCGGCAAACTAGCTCTTTTTCTATGTCATCGGCAAGATCTTTAATACGGCGTGCAACAGTATTATTTGACAACTGTACAGCATCAATTTTTTTACCAGACTGCTCGCTCAACATGCACGTTACAGTATCTTTCGCGCAAGGCTTGATAAGCGTTTCTCCAATAGTGTGAGCTTCTCTGGCAAGCGCTATACAGTAACTTACTCGATAAGATGCCTCTGTTGCACTTTTGTTGTCTGTTTTAGCAATTTTAATCATCGAAAGTTTACAATTTCCAAGTGAGTCACGCTGCCTCTTGAAAAAACTTATATCTTTGTCTTTGTATTCAGCATGCTTGGTTTCCAAATGCCTTTGAAGTTTAGCAGGAGCCAATGAACTGTTTGCTAGTATTTTGTTGCACACGACGCACTGCGCATCAGGAACATCTTTATTTCCAACACATGTAAAACCAAAAGACAAATAACTTTCATCATACTTTCGTTTCAGTCTTTTAACACCTGCTTCTTCTTGTTTTTTGATATACTTCGGTGGAAATTCTTTCACCTTGGATAACTCACTAGTACTAACAGATTTTTCGGCAACAAAAGACTGTAATTGTTCATCCTCACTTTGAAGTGTCACAATATTTTGCTCGTTTATTTCGGCCACAGTTGGAGTACCAAAAGAACTTGCTTTTTGTTTCAAAGTTCCTTCTTTTAGCCACAAATCCATGGTGATTAGGTTTAGTAAGAATATTTAGAAATACTGATTTTTGTCAAATTTTGTTTGTCACAAATATTTATATTGTTTTGAGCGAAGCTAGTTTAGTTGTGCTTATCGCACACACAGTAAAGACCCACAGGTTTGAACGTGTTGAGTGAATATGTTATATTCACCATGGCGTAAAGAGAATGGTGTGTGCATACCGCTGCAGTTCGCGCAGCCTCAAGCAGAAGGGGTTCGACATCACTAACTGAAATGTGCCCGAAAGGGGTAGACGTCAACATGCTTGCATGCCATGTTCTCTTTACGCCATGATATTCAATACAAGTTGTAAACTATGCTTCAAATATGCCAAATTTAAAATTTTAAAGACGCTTTTTTTTTTAATTACGATTCTTTCACGGAACACCTATTCACATCGTGTGGAACACAGTTTGGGAAACACTGGACTAATCCTAAAGACTTATCTACACTGGACAGTTTTACCAGTATAGTTATAGTTATGAGTGGCTGTTTTTTTTTATTTTGTTTAAACCCCTTCTTAAATGACATAACTGAAAAGAGGAACTCCTATATTGGAATAAGAATGTGTACATGAACTATGGCTACATTTACCCTATGAGTTAAGGATGATTCCCAGCATGCATACACATACTTGCACTAGCTTGATGTGAGCTAGTGTGAATAAAAATAGCAGCGTCACCAAGGTGACGTATGTTCCGATAGGGTTCGGGTGGGTGTGTAATGGGGGCATCTATCCTGTGCCACTGCTGCCTGGTCTACAGAGGCTACACTAAAAGAACAGGAGTACTTGTGGCACCTTAGAGACTAACAAATTTGTTAGTCTCTAAGGTGCCACAAGTACTCCTGTTCTTTTTGCGGATACAGACTAACACGGCTGCTACTCAGAGGCTACACTACTATTCATACCCGTGCTAGCTTTCATTGAGTTAGTGCGAATGTGTGTACACGAGCTGGATACAAATCAGAACTCCTTGTAATGGGAGAATATGGCACTTTCTATAATTAAAATTTAATTATTTGTTCAGTGCCTTATTGTCTAATTCAGTGGGCTGTAGCCCACGAAAGCTTATGCTCAAATAAATTTGTTAGTCTCAAAGGTGCCACAAGTACTCCTGTTCTTTTTGTCTCATTCAGTATCACTCAGTGAGAAAATATGTTCCGCTTTAGGCCTATCACTAATTTTGCCCTTTGTTTCTCTTCCATATTCTCCTTTCTCTTTAAGTTTACCTTTGTTCTTTTATCTGTGTTTCCTTCTTTGCAGCAATTACATGTGTGCTTTGCTTCTATCACATTTTTTGTTTCATTTGCTAAAATGATCAGCAAAAGGCTACTTAGTGTTGACAAGGAAGTGCCATTACTGGGGGTTAGAGATGACACTATGTTAAAATAATAAGGATCAGGGAAGTTCACACAGCCTCTGAGCCACTATTTCACGCTGTCTACATTGTCAAGCAGACATCAGTGAAGTCACACATGGACTCCCATTTGTAAGCTTATCAATGCAACCATGACAGAGATTTGGAAACTTGAGTTACCTAATAAAAGCTGAGGTGCTGCATCATGTGCATGCAGCCTCCAGGCCATAAAACGGCATCTTTGATACCCCTGCGTGTGTGTATGGCTGTAGCTTTAATGCCACATCCCTGTGGGGGGCAGCACAGGGCCACACTATGCACCCACGATCACAAGCCTGCTCTGCATTGGCCCTTTCACTCTGTCCCCCGCTCTCGCCCCTTTTTCGGCTTCTCCCATTTATCCTCTCTCCGCCTGACCCATCCCCCCTGCGCCCCAACTAGCCTTTCTCCCCCGCGGCTTCCATCCCCCCGCTTTGCTCTCGGGGCACGGTTGAGAGCAAAGTAAGGGCACCGACTTCAGCTGCGGTTCCTGCGCATGCTCACATCTCTGGGGCACGCTCCGGCTCCCAGTGACGTGCGTCAACAGCGGCAGGGCTGGTCGCGAAGCCGGTGGGGGAGGGGGTGAAGGCCGCGCGCGCTCGCGCCCCGTTTCCTAGCCCAGCGCCTGTGATTGGTGCAGGCCCCGGACCTGGCGGCCCCGAATGCAAGGCCCCGGCGGCGGCGGAGTCCTGCGGCCCGCCCGACCCTCAGCCGGATCCGACCCCGCGGCACGGCGCAGGGACCCGCACAGGTGAGCGGAGGTGCTAGAGCTGGGCCGGCGGGGGCTGGGAACAATGGAGGCGGCTAGGCCTCAGTGCAGGCCGCGCCCGGGGCCTGCGCGCTTCGCTACCGCCGCCGGGCTTGACCGCCGCCTCCCTGCTCTAGGCGTGTGGGCTCCGCCCGCCGGCGGCTGTTCCTCAGCTGGGCCGGCGCAGGACCCGGATCCCGCGGCCGAGCGGCCTCTCGGGCGGCCATAAAATGGCGGAAAACAAGATGTCGGCGGCCGGGGCGGGAGAGGCTTCGCTCGCGCGCGCCCCGGGCTGGGCTCTGTCTGCCCGCCCATCCTCCCCGCACCCTGGACTGGGGGCTGAGTGGCGACGGCTCCGGTGCCGCAGCTGCCTGGGCTCTGAGCCTCTCGGCGCCGCAGGGGAGGAGTGGGCCTGACGGCCCGGGAGTGTGGGGCTCTGCACGGGCCTGGGGAGCGCTGCCCCGTCCCCTGCGGCGCAAGGGGGAGTGTGGCTGTGGAGGTGCGGTGCCTGCCGAGCTGCAGCACTGACTCATCACGAGCTCCTTTGTCTTCACGGCTTTGCTCTCGCACCCCTCCCCCCACAGGCACACGGCAGGGGGCGCTGGCGCCCTGGTACAGCCCCGCGGATAGTGAGTCCCGCGCCTGCACGCTCGGGAGCTGGGGCTGCAGTTCCCGTTCTGAATTTCTGCTGTTTGCTCCTAGCGTGCCGGGATCCAGGGCCGAGAGCTGCGCACAGGTCCCCTTTGCGCTGTCCATCTATTATTGCGGCAGTGTGTGCGCCAGCCCTCTGCGCGCGCACTCCCGTCTGTGGCTGCAGTGCACTCGCAGTTCGTCTCATGTGCTGCCGCTATTCAGCGCGCACACTGCGGTCTGGGATGCACATGTATGCACCATTGCTAGTACCCATCATGCACCCCTGCCAGTGCTCTGACCACACACTGATGACTTGTCTTTGTGGTGTTCATGAGCAGGCCCTGTCAGTAGTTAGCGCACACACCTCTGTCTTTCTGGTGCCTAGGCACATGCCCTGACAGTGTTTAGCATGCACACTCCTTTCTGTTATTTTCATGTGTGCATTTATATGTCCTTCTGGTACTCTCACATTCAATCCCATCTGTAATTGTGGATTGTCTCATGAACATGCCTGTCTCCTTTTGTGCATATGCATACAGCCTTCTTGTTTACACTGTGCTCTGTCATGGTCTGAAGTTTTATTATTTCTTTAGTTGTCATATGTATTTAAAATATTCAGGAACTATATGTAGACCTAAAAATTAATTTTTAGTACTTCTTGCCTAGGTGGGCAATTTTTTTATTTGGATGGGCAATACAATTTTTTTTTAATTTTGTTATGATAAATGAAGGTGAGGGAAATAGATTTCATACCTAACTGGTAAATTTTCCTGACTATTTTGCAGGCTGATATTACATATAAGACTGTGTTCCAATATACATACTAATTTTTATACTGCACCCTACATTGCTGGGTAGGGTTTATGTTAAGCTATGCATTGTTTGGGGGAGGAATAGATCAGTGGTTTGAGCATTGGCCTGTTAAACCCAGGGTTGTGAGTTAAATCTCTGAGGGGGCCATTTAGGGATCTGGGGCAAAAATCTGTTTGGGGATTGGTCCTGCTTTGAGCAAGGGGTACGGACTAGATGACCTCCTGAGGTCCCTTCTAACCTTGATATTCTATGATTCTATTTTCTAGTTTAAACTTTCCTTTGCAGGCTTTTTGTCTAGACAAGTTAGTTCTTGTTACATTTACATTTTTTTAATGTTGCCATGTTGCAGATGTCTACAATACACACAAGGAAAAAAGAGAATGCGTTTGGAATGTGTTAGAGCAGTGGTTCTTAAACTTTTGTATTGGTGACCCCTTTCACACAGCAAGCTTATCAGTGCAAATCCCCCCCATATTAAAAATAAAAACACATTTTTTATATTTAATATTATTATAAATGCTGGAGGTAAAGTGGGGTTTGAGGGTAGAGGCTGACAGCTCGCAACCCCCCACGTAATAACCTTGCAACCCCCTGAGGGGTCACAACTAAAGCTGTGCTTCTGAAACCGAAGTCGTGGAAGTCACGGTTCCATGATCTCTGTGACTTTCGCAGCTGCAGTGTTTGGTGTGGCTGATCCCAGAGCAGTAGCCCCAGGGCCAGCTGGTCGGGTGCCCCACGGTCAGCGGCACTGGATGCAGCTGGAGCTGTCCCGGGGGCAGCCACACCAGCCGCTGCTTGGGCAGCTGGCCAAGGGGAGTACCCACGCAGATGTCCCAGAGCCAGCCGCTGCTTGGGCAGCTGGCCCCGGGGAGCACCCAAGCGGTGGTCCCGGGGAGCACCCGAGCAACTGTCCCCAAGGCTTTGGAGCAGGGGTGGCAGGGGGCAGTCAGCCCCCGTGGCCAGTGCAGGGGCTAGCTCTCAGCCCCCGGACCCTCATAGCAGTGGTGTCCTGGGGCCCCCCAGAGCGACAGGGTCCAGGGCCTCAGGAGCTGCTAAGTTTTAGTCAGGGGTGTGTGTATGTATGTGTGTGTGTGTGTGTGTGTGTATGTGTGTATATATATATGTATATGTATATGTATATGTATATAGCAGGGACAGGTTACAGGCCATGAATTTTTGTTTATTGCCCGTGACCTGGAGCCTGGCCTTTAGCACACAGCTGAGCTGGCCTGCAGCTGTGTGCTAATTGGGCCACATGCGGCCCACGGGTTGAGAACCACTGGTTTACACTGAAGTGCTACAGCAGTTCAGCTGCACCACTTTAACATTTTTGGTATAGACCAGGGTTAGGCAACCTATGGCATGTGTGCTGAAGGCGGCACACGAGCTGATTTTCAGTGGCACTCACACTGCCCGGGTCCTGGCCACCGGTCCAGGGGGCTCAGCATTTTAATTTAATTTTAAATGAAGCTTCTTAAACATTTAAAAAACATTATTTACTTTACATACAACAATACATCTCTACCCCGATATAATGCTAATTTGGATATAACGCGGTAAACCAGCGCTCCGGGGGGGCGGGGGGGGGGGGCTGTGCACTCCGGCGGATCAAAGCAAGTTCGATATAACACGGTTTCACCTATAACACGGTAAGATTTTTTTGGCTCCTAAGGACAGCGTTCTATTGGGGTAGAGGTGTAGTTTAGTTATATATTATAGACTTATAGAAAGAGACCTTCTAAAAATGTTAAAATGTATTACTGGCACACGAAACCTTAAATTATAGTGAATAAATGAAGATTCGGCACACCACTTCTGAAAGGTTGCCGGCCCCTGGTGTAGACTGTCTGCTTTGGAAATTGCTCCAGTTTCAACAGTTGATGGCCAGCCTCCAGTGTAGTTGTGCCAATGAAAGCCCCAAGAGAAGATAAGGAAAACTAATTTGCACCAGCTTAAGCTCTTTCACAGTGCACATTGGTGCAAATCACCGCCACATTGTTGGCTGGACACAAACTGGCAAAATACCAACGTACTTAAGGCCTGAGTGTCATCAGTTCTCTTTGACTATAGCGGAAATTGAGGAAGCTCAGCATTCTGTTTCGTTGGAATCTAAATCTTACTCTTCCTAATCTTTCTCAACTGTTAACAGGATTGGAAATTAGTCTGTCTAGCCTGGACTTTCTTCTGATTTGTCTTAATTTTATTAGTTAACTTAGTTCTAGGCAGTATTTGTACTGGGGAAGTTTCTGTGTGTGTGTGTGTGTGTGTGTGTGTGTGTGTGTTTGTTTTTAAGCACCTTCCCTAGAATCTAGTTAGCTGTTATTTAAGGTAATTGGTGATTTTTTCATCCAAAACTTTTCAGGAGGTGGATGGAAAAGTATGGTCAGGTAATTGCCAGGATATTATATTAATTGTCATTGCCATTCCATTGGCAAATACCAATTGCCATTTATAGTCTAGAATTAAATCTGATTTAGTTATAGCAAGTTATACTGTAGCATCTGTCACAAAAATAGTTTGTATGACTTTAGCTTACTTTGAGAATAATTTTTTTCAGTCAAAAATTGGAAGATTCCATAGCTGTTTTTTTATTTAGAGAATAACTAAAGGCCCTAATCCTGCAGTTACAACATTCAGAATTACCACTGAAGTCAGGAGAAGTTGTAGTGTGAATTGATTGCAGGATTGGATGCTTAAATATTTTTATTTTTCCATTAAGACTCTGTGACTTATTATTTTTGATAGTATTGTCGGTGGTGTTAGGAATCTGGGTTGGGGAGTTGTGGGGGCCAGGCCTCCTTACTAATTTTAGGGGCTGCCTTAGTTGTGTTTAATTATAGGGCATCAGGGTGCTGTGTCTGGCCCCCTTGTTTCTCACCTGGGTGTTGCTGAAGAAGCACCCTGACACTTGAAATCCAGGATAGAACTACAGTGCCGCACTTCAGAAAACTATGCTTTGGCAACAGTGCTCTGTCATTTTCTAGCAAGGCCACTGACTGGCTGCAAGGCAGTGCTGCCAATCGTGGGAGGCTGGGGACATTGAATCCTCCCCCACACACACCCAAGGCTTTTGCACTTGCTCAGAGTTCAGTGGGAAGGAATGTGTGGCTGGACCACTTTTAAACTGAATCAGTACAGCTGCTTCCAGAGTGGTCTGAAGCATCACTCCAGTTGCAGTGCCACTGAAATTTGACCCATCTGCTCCTCTGAACAGATGGAGGGGCGGCCTGGCCAAGTTTTTGTCAGTGGTGTTGAGATTGAGCACATGGGGTCACAGTACCACTCAAATTTGGCCCAGCTGCCCCTCCTGCTAGATGAAGGGGTGGCCAGGCCAAATGGTATTGCAGCCTGGCGCACAGGAGTCTGTTTCTGTATGGTGGACTGCAGGTGAGTCTGCCAAGAGCTCAATTTCTGGTGGCACTGGCTCATGCAGTGTGTGGGTAAGAGAGAGGGCAAATCTGCTGCCTGTGGGATGGAGGGGATTCCAAAATGGGGTCAGTGAGTATGTTCCCTATGAGAAGGTCCCTTTTCACTGAGGTGGTCATTTGGGGAAGCTA